ATAATTGACACAATGCGCAGAAGTAATAAGCACTCTCGTCATTAGCAAACAGTTGTGATGTCGGTGTTTTGAGCCGTCTCTCTCTCCCTCGAGTAATATCTCGGCACACTGGTCATACGGCAATTACAGTCATTATCCATCCTGGGCATCGCTCACTAATTTTTTCACTGTGTATCAAACGCCGCAGAGTAGCTTACTGATGATGGTCACTGCGCGTGCCAAACAACAACAAAGGAAATGCTGTCAGCAGCTAGGCACTCCTTTTCAGCTACTTCCCGCAGATTGGGAAAGAATCTACTGCAAGTGGTACTTTTGTTGTTGAATCCAATGTCTTGTCTGAAAGGCAACATTTTCTAAGTGAAAATGACAGTGCCCCTGTGTCTGCAGACGGACAGACAATGGCAGGGCAGACAGACACAGACAGTCATCATTGTCACATTGCGGAACAATTCAATTTGTGGCTACTGAAGTTTTCCAAGTATACGTAGACGGCATTTTATTACACAATGCACTTAAAAATCAGCGTCAGTAGCAGTGTACTTAAATGGGACCTTTCATAAAGGTACATCCTTTCAACAAAGCTGCCGAACCACTTTAGTAGTGACCGGAATCTCAACTAAACATCTACCCGCTATTTATTATATGCTACCATTTTGATAGTGAATCAGCCGCTTTTCTTCAAAAACAAATCACAAAGCAGTAAAGAGTAATGTAAAGCGATGCGTCGCTATGATAGTGTGAGTGGTCCATGACTGGTCTGACCTGAAGTGATGGTGCCTCTGCAGCATCTTCTTCCTCCTCCTCATGGTCGTGCTAAATTAGCTGCAATGTAAATGGTCCGCAAAATATTCATAGGATGAACTTTTCGGCAAAGATCAGAGCTCGCCCTCACGCCAAAGTGTTCTTGTTCCAGACACAACAGACACCCAAGTAGAGTCGTACAAGTCGCAACAATTAGTTCATCATTAGAATAGAAAATCCATTTCGGCAGAGGCAATGCACAGGTGATGCAAGGTAATGAATCACATACTGAGCACAGCATTAATAAAATCAGTGCACAAAGTGGACAAGGATGCAGACAAGGAGTCAGTTTTTCCAGTTCATAAATTTGATGCTGACGATGTTGGCCAACAGTGGTCGGATTGACGTGATGTCCAACTAAATAATGGTATGATGGTAGAGAGCAGCAAATCTGTCAACACCAAGCTGAGAATAACAATTTAAGTAAAAAAACTTGAGCTGATTTTTGACTCAGCTGCTAAACTTTAGTTTTTTTTCATTTCATGTCACATTGTGATATGTTTATGGCTACTAGTTTTGCTGAAAACCCAAAAATGCCTAAGCCCGTGGTAAAGTAATTTAAAATGCATGTGTTAATCAGAAAATGCAATCTAAGTGTGTGCACTTGATAGAGCACACCTAGTTGGGAGCAGGTCAGAACGTCAAACCACTGATGGCAATCAAAGTAGAGCAAGTGGATCAACTCGTGGGACTGCAGGCGCTGGTATTAGAACACTCAAGATGTCATTTGTTTTTCATTATTTTGATACAAAAACATTTTATGATAATTTGTAAGTAAAGCATAAAATGTTGATGTATTAAAAATGATTTTAGATATTAAAAGTATCATAGAAATAGCAAACAACAATAGAAGACTATCAAACAATCGCAATCAATTGGAAATAAACACCACCAGGTTTGGCTGTAATCGATGTTACTGCAGCCCGCCGAACTGTGCTGTAGATCGATGTCANACTCGTGGGACTGCAGGCGCTGGTATTAGAACACTCAAGCTGTCATTTGTTTTTTATTATTTTAATACAAAAACATTTTATGATAATTTGTAAGTAAAGCATAAAATGTTGATGTATTAAAAATGATTTTAGATATTAAAAGTATTATAGAAATAGCAAACAACAATAGAAGACTATCAAACAATCGCAATCAATTAGGAATAAACACCACCAGGTTTGGATGTAATCGATGTTACTGCAGCCCGCCGAACTGTGCTGTAGATCGATGTCAAACAGATAAACAGACAGGTAGTCTCAAAGTAAACAGAAAGTGCACACGTACAGTCTGTGTTTGATTGAATCTGAGCAAACATTATTGTCTGGAAACAAGTGGCTCCAAGTATTAGTACTAAAGAAGAAGTAAAATAGTAAAGAAGAAGGTGACGCAAACAGTGCCCAGGGTTGCCTTATTTGGATACGGGGTTGCTATTTGTGCGATAAATCTCTATTATCTAGTGACCACCATCACTCGATCGGTAATGAATGGTTCCATCCATAAAGGATTGTACGGTTGTTTAACTGATGTGATGGCCAGATATAAAGAAGGGTATCAAAGTGAGTGATTCTGCTCATGACATGCTGATGGCAGCAAACGAGCTTTTTGCGAGTTGCTGTCACAAAAAGCACAATTAAATTCATCATCCATTATTTTATTTGTGTTTGCTAAGCTAAAAATGAGCTGCATAAAAAATTAGCAAACAGTTTAAAATGGTAGAAATGGTCAGTCAGAGTGACGAATAAATCAGCATAGGGGCTTCAAGCTGCCATGATAGACTGATTTATGACCGGATCGCATTATCATATGCAGCCTGTGTCCGGTGTCCCGAACACAGAGTCGTGCTTAAGACTAACTAGTTGGAAGTAAGGTAACGTCTGATGGAGGACAGTCTCACCTTAGTAAGACTTTAGCTATAATTCAGCAGCATTAAATTGCAGCTCAAAACAGGTCTTTTGTGCTTGAGCAAGCGAACTAACTGTTTGCAGTGGGAAACACTGACCAACAGGACACCTCGGTTTTGGGAATGTCACCTAATTCTCAATGGCTGACTCATTAGAGACCTTAAGTTGACAGTACAAAAATACCTATTTTACTTGTTAATCNCTGACTCATTAAAGACCTTAAGTTGACAGTACAAAAATACCTATTTTACTTGTTAATTGCAAGTGACATGAGCCCCGCAGTTCGATGACACTGCTGCGAGAGAAACAAGCAGCTGTCACAAAAAAATATACGTAAAGCATCTTTCAAAATACAAACTTACAGTAGAGATCGGGACGATTATTTTCCAGAAAGATGAGTATTACAGTTGATCAAAACAAAATAACCCGTTGACAGTTGGTGCAGAGCAATGGAGACGAAGCTGTAAGTAGTTGTCAGGTGGATTCAAAGCGTAGAATTGATGAGCATTGTTGACCAGAAAGCAATTCTTGAAGAGTGGAGACATCAGCACTGCAGCGGAACAGTGCTGCGTAGGGGTGTTGTCGCCTGCACAGTTTGGACAGTGCCCACAGCTTCAGTGCCTCTGCTGAGAGCATCTGCGTGGCTGTGATGGACACTGTTCACACCGGCCAGAATGGGCACGTTCCAGCGGGAGTCAATGGGGACAGGGAAAGGGGGAGAGAGAGAGGTGACTGGGGTGAAAGGGCAGATGGTCACTGTTGACTGTTTCTCAGTGCACTGGTCAGATTCTGTCAACGACCACAGCTTTGGAGTTGATGCTTTGCTGCACTCGGCCAAGGCTGCTTCTTTCCACACATTTCAAGTGCTGCAAGATATTTGCCGTCCACGCGTAGCAGTGTTGAGGTGGTTTGTTCCAGCGCTTTCAGTTATACAAAGGACGGGGATTTTCCTGTCTTCTGACGTGATAGGCAGCACTCCTCTGCACTGTAGCCCAGAACTTGGCGGGAAACTGCCAGTCTAGGCCAGCCTCTTCAGCAAAGCTTCAGCAAAGCTAGCGCATCAAGCTGCGGAAAATCTACTGCAGTGCCATCTACTGCTTCAATACCAGATAAAATTTTATTTTTAGTTCGAGCCAGCAACGATAATTGCCATCAAGATAATATTATCATCAACAGTATGTTGCATTCAAGTTGTGTTATGTTACAATATTTGATGGCTAAACTGTATGCAGTAACATGACAAATGATTTAATGAAATTTGGTGGGTTTAAAATTGAAGGTTTTTGAACTGTACAAATTCGGCTTTTGGGTCACTTTCGTTGGATATCTCGGAGGATGGCTTTGACGTACTGCACAAAACTCATTTCGCCAATGAGAACACCATCCATTTCATCCCATTCGAGCATTGCATTTTTGCAGGCGTCCATTTGGGCCAGTCGCTTTGAAAGACCTTTGCCCATGTATCTACCTTCAAACATCTGGTAAGCATCTTCTTTGAGTGGTTTTTCCGCTTCAATTATCATCAGGCACTCATAGTAATTTCGAAAATCGCCACTTTTAATCTTTTTAAAAATATATCTTGGTGAAATATGGAGCAAAGAGCCGATAAGTGGTTCAAGAAGGGAGCGAGCTTCAACAATGGTGATGGCATCCAGTAACGCTTTGGATTTGTTTGAACGCGATGACGAAGCGCTGGATGAAAGTTTTTTGTCAGCGTTTGCAGCATCATGGGACGTATCTGCTTTTTGAGAATCGGTCTGTGGCTCAGTAACCTCCGAGTTCTGTTGGGTCGTCGGCAAACAAATGTAAATTCCATACATCTTTGTTGATGATGACTTGAAAGATGCTGCACTTGTGCGAGAGAGAAACGAGATCACGCTTTTTCAAGCTTGAAGAGCTGTTCAGCTGAGCTGAGATCAAGTGCCACAGTGAGTGATGGCTATCATCAGAGGCGCTCGTCGCGACACTCGACTCGACAGTTAGCGAAATTTTTTCCGTCGTCAGTCGATTACGAGGCACGCTTGCAAATCAAAACAAAACAAGCCGTCCATCAGTACTTGTTGCTCGATTTTATTGGCCGTCGAAAGAGATTAGGGTGCAGTCTGCAACTGTGAGTCACTGTGTCAGTCGTCTGGTCAGTGAACACAGCGCGAACAATACTCAATGTGAAAGATGCTTTTACAGTGGATATGCAACATAAAAGAGAGAAGAAGATCACCAAACGAAAACGGAAAACAGTGTGGCAATGCTCACTTTTGGGTAGCCTTACTGCAAGTTACTGTGGGCACACACTAGCCCACTCTACTATTAAATGTTTGGCAAGTGTTCAATACCCTGGCTCCGTCTGATCAGGTTTCCACCGTACTTTGCGTCGCCCACCAGAGTAGTGCTGCCAGCAGTGCTGGAGCCGACAACTGCACTGTTAACAGTTCCGAAGCTGCCACCATTACCCGAGTTGCCAGTGGAGACCGAGGTGCCACCGCCGCCAGCACCTGCGTTGTTGTTACTGTCACGACGCGTGAAAATCGGCGACTCAATATCAAACTCCAGAGCCTGCGCCTTCTGCGGCGTTCCAGTGGCGGTGGTGGAGCTGAGGCGTACCACTGCTGCCGCCGCTCCGACAGTGCCATCGGCCGATTGCTTGTCTGCCTGTCTGCCACCACCATTACCATTACCGCCCGACGGCACAGTGGCGGCCGGGGAAGAATCTCCAGCGAGCGATGGCAGAACGGGCGTAGTGGGCGTCAGCTGAGGCAGGTTGATTGAGCTGGTTTGACTGCGACCAGCAGCGCCGCCCATGAGAGGCCCCTGGGCGGTGTAGCTTTGCTTCAACTTGGCGTGCTGTTTACTGTTCCCCGACATGATCGTCTTCGGCTCAGCGTACATCGACAGGTCGGGAATTTTGACGTTGTTGAAGTAGGGAAACTGCAGCAGCTGCTCACAGGTAGGTCGCTTTGCCGGGTCCTTGTCTAGCGTCCGTCGCAGCAGCTCCAGTCCGCTGGGCTCAATGTGTTTCGGTATCTTCTGCTCCAGTGACTCGATCACATCTGGATCAGGAATGGCCACGCCGGTGAAGAACTCATTTGACCGAAAGATGGCAATGTGTCTGGGCAGCAGGTCGCCCATGGTTCGTCTGATCAGGTACAGCTGGTCGACGTCGGATTTGCCCGGCCACAAAGCCTCACCACGCATCAGCTCGGCAGTGACACAGCCAATGGCAAAGACGTCCACTGCCGGACCGTAGTGAGTGTCGCCAACGAGCAGTTCGGGCGCCCGGTACCATCGAGTGGCCACGTAGTCAGTGTAGTTCTCTCCAGGCACCAGAGTTCGTGCAAAGCCAAAGTCACACAACTGGTGCAAAGTCAATGGTCAAAAATTAAAAATTGTGTCAATACGAAAAAGTTTCTAAGGCTTACTTTAACAACACACTCTCGTGTTAAGAGGATATTTTCGGGTTTGACATCTCGATGAATGCACTAGTACAAAAAGTAAAAAATGCGACAATTAAACAAAATCAAACACAATTTTGAGAGCTTACATTGTGTTTATGGCAAAAGGCGACGGCATTCGTTGTCTGCCAGATAATACGCTTGGTGATGGCTTCTGGTACTCCTCGAGGATACTTTTCCAGTATGTCAAGCACTGTCAGCTCGCAGAATTCAAAGACTAAATGCAGTTTACGCTTACGGCGAAAGACTTCAATGAGATTGATCAAATTGGGGTGCTTCAGTTGCTGTAAAGAAAGGACAAAAAGCTTTAGTTTTCAAGTGTGTTCACTTTTGGGTGCTTACTTTTAGCATTTTAATTTCCCGCATGGCAATCTTCTTGATAAGTGGATCGTCCTCAGTCTCAAGATACTTCTTGATGGCCACCAATTGACCGTTCTCTCTATTGCGACATTTAAATACAATGCCGTAGCTTCCCTCGCCAATTTTTGCAATTTTCTCGTACTTTTCCATGGAGCTGTGAATCATCACCGGCCGCCGCTTGGCGGTATTTGCTGTTGAGTTGTTATTGGAATTGCTCGAGTTGGAAAATGCCGCTGTCGAGGACGATAGTGCTTCACTGGCAGTTGAACCAAAGCTAGACTGCTTAACGGGTGATGAGGCAGCTGCTCTGGATGGCGGCACTGGATGCTGTGCCTTCGGTGTGTTCCCCGTCAGACTGTTCAATGCTGGCTTTGCCTTGCTGGTGGTCGTAGACGGTCCGGTCCACAACTTCGGTCCTGGAGCATTGACGGTGTGTCCGATGTTCCCAAAGTTACGATTGGTGGCAAGTGCAATTGGCTGACTGCGAAGTGGATTTGCCTTGCTCAACGGCGCTGGTGGGGGCACCTTCTTCAGATGGTCAGGCACAGTGGCCAATTTTTCACTGTCAAGAAAAGAAAGAAAAAGAGGTAGCTGAGTATTAAAATACAAAGCAAAAACTGCAAAAATATTTGCGGCGCAATTTTAATTTATAGCTGAAAGAAAGGGAACTGGTAGAAATTGCTGCACCGGTGCCGCTCAATGAACTGTGTGGTTTCTGTGCCGTGTATGTACATGTGTGCCCTTGTGACTGGTGCAGAGCAATGTAAATTAAAGGAATCAACGAAGAAATGTAAACCAACTTGCCAACGATCAGTTGGCGTGTTGTCGTGCACAGGTAGGGTAAGAAGAAGAAAAAGAGATACTGCAATGCAGCTAAGCGCGCCAATGTGTCTTGCGAAAAACCAATATCGATGAACTAGTGAGGACTACCCTGGTAGTGCCTTACCTGGCGAGCATAACGAGCTGAATGACAGCAGTGGCAGCAGCAGCTAAATGCCCAATATCTAACAGAAAGGTAAGTGTGCCCGCGTGATTCTTCACAACTGACGACTAACCAGTTTCAATCGAAGAATGGCGACAAAATAGGATCAAGAAGAAGAAAAAGAAGTAGAAGTGGTCACGGCCGGCAGCCACTGCAGACTCAACCTTAGCGAATCCACTGCCGCTTCAGTGCAGCAGTAAACGGCACTGCACTGCCAGAACTGTACATTCCGCTAGGACATGCCAGCGAGGACAAGGACTCTGCGGCAGCAGTCGTTGTTGTTGGACAGAAAACGCCCGAGTACATGTACGTTTTGATGGCTCTACTGGCTACCCGTTGCCATGGTGGTCGCAGACTGGCTGGCTGCCTGTCTCAAACTGGCTCTCTTTCTGTATGTCAACAAACGTAGCCTACTACTACTCTATGATCTGGCTGTCAATTGGCGGAGGTGCCATTTGATCCTCCAATCGGGCCCCCGTTTTCTCCCTAACCCACTTTGGTGGGCAACAGCAAATCCTGCTTCTGTACGCAGTTTGCCTCAAATCAAATATTTGTCTGGTCGCATTACATGTGCTCAGGAGAGAGAGAAAGTATCGATTTACCTTGACACTGGGCACAGACAATTACGTTGAAACAGCGTGCGAATGTAGGAGTCGCTTTCTTTTGCTATAAATTGCGATTCTTAAAGTAGCTTTTCTTGTCGTAAAGTTATCGAGATGTCGCAGCAAAGTGCTCAATGAAAAATGACTGCGGCTATATACAGTTGCATTTGTATTAATGAGCCAAAAGTATACATACCTAAAATTTAATGTCGACAATTCAGTTTTGACAATTTTGTGGCGAGTGTTGGTGTGCGGTGAATTCGGTGGCTTGCGATTCACCACTTGGCCATTCGCTTTCGGCATTNTGTTGCATTTGTATTAATGAGCCAAAAGTACATACCTAAAATTTAAAGTCGACAATTCAGTTTTGACAATTTTGTGGCGAGTGTTGGTGTGCGGTGAATTTGGTGGCTTGCGATTCACCACTTGGCCATTCGCTTTCGGCATTGTCATTGAACTAGTGGTGGTGGTCAAGTGGTCAGTGTGAAATCGATTGGTAGATGATATTCCCGTACTCGCTTCAAATTTGTTATGCGATGATATTTTTGGCTCTACGTGATTGTACTGCTCAGCAGCGCCAATGTCGCGTTTGTCGATTCGCTTTTTTGTCACTGTGGGAAACCGTTGACTGGTGCCGCCTGAAATCACAGCACTGCTCGCGGGTTTGATAGTCACTGCTGCCAGCTTAGTCACATCAAAGTGAAGTCGGGGCCACTCTTGTTCGTCCTCGTCGTTCACTTCCTGTTTGCCCGTTTCGTTTCTTACCGCGCGCGATGCATTTTGTCTCAGAAGATTCTCGTAGAAAGCATCCAAAAGTAGTGATTCACCTACAAAGCCTTCAAGATTGTAGTCGGTGTTGTCAATGATGGGCGGATTGCTCAGCGAAGAAGGACTGGAAAAGGAAAATGCCAGTGTTCGTCCGGTGTTCGTCGGTGGCACCGGTCCTCCCGGTGAAAGCACAGTTGCTGATGAATGCGAAGTGACGGCCGCACTGTGGTGGCCAAGTAGATCATCTAAATTAGAGTGGTA